GTAAACATCACTGTGATATCGTAAGGTATTGACACACTGAGTGAAGAATCATGTATTCACGAGTAAACTTCATGGGATCTTACCATTAATATCGATGTGATGCGTAACGATACCCACGACCAATACAGCGCCAACTGAGTAAAGTCTATTAGATTATAAGGATTTTTAATGTACGTTATACATCCCTCGTTGTATATCTCTTTCATTTCACTCCATGTCATAGCTGAAAAAGAATCACAATATGTTACGTCCAGTAACGATGACGTGTACACATTACAACGATGAGGTATTATAGTGGTAATATTTACACATACAGTGATGACGTATGCACATTAGAATTTATACGAAATATCACAAAACTAAGCGAGTACATAGCTTCTTGTCACGCGTTTAGGGAGTTTCATAAACACCTCTATACTGACCTATTAACCACGTGACAATCAATATCTCAATGTTATTTGGGGCTGGTCCGCGTTGACGGTTTCTCAAGGTCAGATGTGACAACTCTTCGATTCGTTCATTGTGTAGTGACGTCAGATCTTCCAGACCGAATGATCCAATGAATGAGGTGTCCGACGAAAAAAATAACAAGACTAAAAATGTCATGTATGAGGCAGTGTTCATCAAAAATTTCACATATCTGTCAAAACAAACATAAAATCCCAATTTTGTCTTCATTATGTAGCTCGTGGATTTCATAAACAACATTATGTGTTGATAAAAACTGGAAAGTTTAAATAATAGTATTATATTTAAAAAAAATAGTGCTGAATTAAAGCATCAAGCATCATCGAAGATGATGTCTATGTGGGTGGTATATATTTAAGGTCAAGTAACAGGTTGTTATTTGTTTTGTAGTGCCATCCACAAGTCAGTGTTGAATGCAGTTAATACATTATTGTCCATATTTGCCGAAAATTCAAAATGGCATCGAAACGATGTGACTGGTCAAATTTATTTAATTTTTGTTCTTTCATGTGAATCATTGGCGGGATAGGCTACATGCAACTTTGCTGATCGTTTAAAGCACTCATTTTTACCATTTTTGCCGGAAATCCAAGATGGCATTTAAATTGTTACAATTTTCGCAGGAATCCAAAATAGCGGCCAGATCACGTGACTGGTCCACGTTATTTATTTCTATTTTCATAAGAAGCATGAGGTATACATTCTACACGCAAGTTATAAAGTTGAGTGATACCTAGAAACAAGTGACCTAATTTGAAGTCAGAAATCCAAGAAGGCGGCCAAACCAGGATATTGGGCAACAATATTTTCTTTTTCTCATAAGAAGCTTTGGCCGTACATACTACAGTTAGTGAGTTAAAGAACCCATCCCAAACTGTGATCGTTTTGCAGAAAACCCAAGATGGCGACGTAGTCGCTAAATGATTGGGTGGCGCTGAGTACTTATGGGATGTCATTGGGTGGCGCTGTGTACTTATGGGATGTCATTGGGTGGCGCTGTGTACTTAAGGGATGTCATTGGGTGGCGCTGTGTACTTATGGGTAGTCAATAAGTGGTGCTGTGTACTTATGGGATGTCATTGGATGGCGCTGTGTACTTATGGGATGTCATTGGGTGGCGTTGTGTACTTAAGGGATGTCATTGGGTGGCGCTGTGTACTTAAGTTGTCATTGGGTGGCGCTGTGTACTTATGGGATGTCATTGGGTGGCGCTGTGTACTTAAGTGATGTCATTGGGTGGCGCTGTGTACTTAAGGGTTGTCATTGGGTGGTGCTGTGTACTTATGGGATGTCAATGGGTGGCGCTATGTACTTATGGGATGTCATTGGGTGGCGCTGTGTACTTATGGGATGTCATTGGGTGGCGCTGTTTAATTATGGGATGTCATTGGGTGGCGCTGTGTACTTATGGGATGTCATTGGGTGGCGCTGTGTACTTATGGGATGTCATTGGATGGCGCTGTATACTTATGGAATGTCATTGGGTGGCGATGTGTACTTAAGGGATGTCATTGGGTGGCGCTGTGTACTTAAGGGTTGTCATTGGGTGGCGCTGTGTACTTATGGGATGTCAATGGGTGGCGCTGTGTACTTAAGAGTGTCATTGGGTGGCGCTGTGTACTTATGGGTTGTCATTGGGTGGTGCTGTGTACTTATGGGTTCTCATTAGGTGGCGCTGTGTATTTATGGGTTGTCATTAGGCGGCGATGTGTACTTAAGGGATGTCATTGGGTGGCGCTGTGTACTTAAGGGATGTCATTGGGTGGCGCTGTGTACTTAAGGGATGTCATTGGGCGGCGCTGTGTACTTAATGGGTTGTCATTGGGTGGCGCTGTGTAATTAAGGGATGTCATTGGGTGGCGCTGTGTACTTATGGGCTGCCATTGGGTGGCGCTGTGTACTTAAGGGATGTCATTGGGTGGCGCTGTGTACTTAAGGGATGTCCTTGGGTGGCGCTGTGTACTGATGGGCTGTCATTGGGTGGCGCTGTGTACTTAAGGGATGTCATTGGGTGGCGCAGTGTACTTAAGGATGTTATTGGGTGGCGCTGTGTACT